TGGACATGATGAAACAGACGATTCAATAAATCCAGGGGTATTTAGGGGATTAATACATTTTGCATCTCAATTAGATTCAGATTTGAAGCATCACTTAGAAACCAGTGCAGTCTTCAAAGGTGTTTCTAAGACCATTCAGAATGAAATACTTGACTGCCTGCTACAAATATACCATGACGAGATAAGGGCGGAAATTAGAAAGGCTTCCTTTGTAGCTGTCATGGCTGATGACACAACAAATGTTTCAGAACACACTCAAATGGTCCTTGTTCTACGGTACGTATTGAATGGAGAAATATTTGAGCGTTTTGGGGGATTCTTTATTCCAGAAAATCAAACTGCAGATGGCATATCAAAACGTATTTTAGAACAATTGGATATAATCCTTCAAGGAAATGGACAAAAACTGATAGCTCAGACATTTGATGGTGCAAATGTCATGAAAGGCAAAAAAGCAGGAATTCAAGCAAAAATAAAAGCAGTTTATAGTAATGCACATTTCATTCACTGTTATGCACATCAACTTAATTTAATAATGAGAAATGCAGCAAGTATTACACGAAACGCAAGAATATTTTTCTCTAACATTCTGGCTATTCCAACATTCTTCTCAAGATCATCGCAACGTGTGTCCATTCTCAAGAAGCATATGGAAGTCAGCATTGCACGTCCATCTTCTACAAGTTGGAACTTCAACATACGGACCATAAACAGAGTTCATGAAAATTTGCAACCTTTAATAAACTGCCTTACTGAAATTCAGTCAACATCAAATGCAGATCAAACCATTGCAGAAGCAACAGGAATTTTAAAATACCTGAATGATGATAATTTCAAGTTTTGGTTAGAGCTTTTTCATCAGATTATGCCTCATGTTGAAATAATTTACAACCAAATGCAATCTCAAGAAATTAGTGTGTTTAAAGTTAATGAATATATAACACATTTTAAAACTTCTATTTTAGAATTGAGAAACTCAAAGTACTGTGAGAATCCTTCAA